TAAAAATCTCCAAATCAAAGTTGTGAGTTGTGATTTTTACGAATCAATTAAAAATGTACAAAATCATAGTCAAACCACACAAAGTAATCATATGGTCACAGACAATATACTCTGTTCTAAATTCCCAGGATTTCGTAAGACTTGCGATTCTAGATCAAAGGAATGATCGAACGGGTAAGGTCTAGATATTCTAACGGAATTAATGACGTAATGGAATTGATGATGCAACAAAATAGATATGTCCAATCAAAAGAGATTTTACGACAATTATAGCACAAAGAACAATAAGTTAATTTATTCAAAATAAGTACTCAATCGTAATAATTAAAAGTAAGTAATCCTAATTTATAGCACAAGCAATAGTTATCCCACACCGTAATCCCAATCCTATTGTCACCCCTACACGGTGACGTGCTAATGTCAAAATTTAACGGGAAAGCCAATTTACAAAACAGATATATATGAGTCCATAAATTATGAAAGATTCGAATTTGCTGCTTTAGGGCAACCACTATTCACCCTAAAAATTCATCAAATATATCAATGCAATTGGCCATGAAAATCATCCAAGTTTTTCTGCGTAACCTGCTGCACTCAGATATCGGCTTAGAATTTTTGGCAGGTCAACGCTTTGGCCGGAATCAAGAGATATAGGTTCGGCCCTTTGAAAAACTTCGTAAATCAAACGCATTTTTGTCGAATTTCTGGCCGAAGAGCAACCACCTTGCTCTGATACCAGATGTAGAGTGTAAAAACCAAGATCACCAAGGTTTTATCGGGCTCAGTTTACTAAGCAATTGACGCCACCAAGAACAACCACAAAAACTCCCAAATGTTTCTTCCACTTACGGTTGCTATGAATTACCCACCAAAGAGACCACAAAGGAAACCAATATCACACAAGAATCACACCACAAATGCAGTAGGGATGGGCAAACTGAGAGTGGATAGAAGAGTGAAGAAGAGGCAACCGTAAGTTCTCACACCACGAAAGCGAAGGAGAAACCGTCCGTTTAACCAAGTAAAATGGGTGTATAAGGTAAGTTAACTTAAGGTAAAATAGTGGCCCAAACGGCCGAACACAAGAATAATGGGCTACTAAAATGGGTAGCATCATTTAGTCGTCCATGTAAGTGGGACGAGTCATAAGCAATACTAATAAATTAGGTTGCTTCAAATGGTCCACACAAATTAGGCTGGGCTCGTTCCATTGGGGAGCGAATTTGAAAATAGCCATCCGAAGAACACAAAGTTGATTCTTTATACTTTCTGTTGTGTATTGTCATACTTAGCCAACCTACCTGGGCCAATGGCCCACTCAGGCCGAACCATGTGGCATTCCAGTCGAGGCGGTATATATTGCCGAGGTGGGCTATGGCCGAAGCCTTTCAATCCGAGGCATGCCCTTTCACCGAGGCCTGTAATCATAACCGAGGTCCACATGCTGAGGCCTATGGGCCGCCATGATGCGGAAGCTGGTTGAAGTTAGCTGAAACCCTCAAGTGGAAGTATTGTATAAAATGGCCGAAGCCCCGAAGCTGATGCAGGAGCCTCTGAACCACATGGGAGCGTCCTCCATATTCACTTCTTCCAAGAGATCGTCTACACAAAGATTTTATTCGAATGATTGATGGAACGTTTGTCATAAGCATAAATGTCAAGTCTTGTCACTAGTATGGAGGCTCTGCACAAATAATAAATGCGCAGCAAGCTAACAAGTCAAGCCCCCTGCCTAGGATAAGATGTTTGAATCAAAGAGATGAGGCCACGTGCCACCTCATCCAAGGGCTCCCATTTCACATGTATCACTATAAATACTTCACTTGTGTAACATTAAAGGACTAATGCAATAATCAATACAAAGAACTACACTTTACTCAACTCTCTCTCTCTCATTTACTTGTAATACACAAATCGAGTTTATACACATTTACATATACATTTACGAACACCGGTTGGTAATTATTGTACAATCGGATCACGAACAACCCGTCGGATTCCGAACGTCACCATCCCGCGTCGTTGGTCTACTCCCACGCCCTTTGAACCGCTCGTTGTAGACCGTCCACGTGTCATAGTGTGTTGAACATTCGCCCACATGTGTGCGGGTGAGACCGACATCTGTTGACAACACTTTTTAGGTCAACACTTTCTATTCAATGAACTAGTCTCATTGATTATTTTATGGGGTGTAGACCTCTTGACAGGTGGAGTGCAAAAGTTTCGTCAAGTTGGACAAAGATTAGCTTTCACGTGTAAGGTAGAAGAGAGTTTGATAGCAAGATTATTTTTTGGGTTAGGATTCACCGAACTTTGTTTTGTTTTTGATTAGTTGGTAAACTTTAAAAATTGTTTCCTCGACCATTCTTTTGGTCTATATCTATAAAAATTAAGCTTTTATTTGATTTTGATTATTTGAGAATCCAATCATACTATTTCTGCAATTTGATTGACAATCTGTGAGTTGCCAAATGTCATATTCATTCATTTGAAAAACATTTTTTGAAATGAATGACAATAACCTTTCCTACAATAGCATAATTCTTGAGAAACACTTCTAAATCACACTCTTTTTTTTTTTTTTTTTTAAAATCATACATTCACCCAAAATATATAAATATATATTTAAAGAATTACTTGTCAAAAAATCTTTACCAAACAAGCGCTAAGAAGGAGAGTGGTTTCACCTTCGGTTCTTGTCTTCACGAGTAAAAATTCAATTAGTTCATTGAAATTCAATTTATTTCTAATATTGTTTCCAACTAATCAATGAATTAGTTGATGTTTGTAATATTAACGCAGAGATAGTACGTGGCAAATTTCATGGCTTATGTGGATCATCTTTAGCCGTCGTCTCCATGAGTAAAAAATCCATATGTACCGATGAACTTTTTGTAGACGATGTTTGGATCTTTTGACCGATTTAACGATTAAACAGATGTACCTATTTCAAGGTTTTTTGACATTCAATTTATAAATTCTTTTCTCATGTGACTCTCTTTGCATTAATTTTGTTAACGTCAACGAAAAAAGGATTGGTCGGAAATAGATGTTAAAGTTTAGTGATCAATTTGCAATGCTTGTATACTTTTACAGATTGAAAAAGGGGTTGATGAGGCTGTATAAGACATGACATTTGCCAACTCTTTTTGCATAAATTTTAACCAATGTGCACTACCAAAATGGAACGCGCCTCTGTACATGTTTAGACATATAATTAAGTTTTGTCAAATGTTAATTTTAATCACACTGTTAATAGGATACACAGATATTATACACTAATTTCTATTAATTTATAATTAAGTTTATTCGGTTTCATTTAAGTTGCACGAGTGCATGACAATACTAGCATAGCGCCCGTGGCCTAATGGATGAGGCGTCTGACTTCTAATCAGGCGATTGTGGGTTCGAGTCCCACCGGGCGTGCTTAAATAATTATTTTTAACAAAAAACAATATTTCAGATATTTATTATGTAGAGAAAATTCAAAGGGCACATGGATAATAAAAAACAAATGAAAATCACTCGACACCCTCTTTTTTCACCTCCCATAATGTAGAACCACTATATTTATCTTATTAAGTATGATTTTTAAAGTTAACTTTATAAGAAGATAATTTAATTTTCTAAAAATCAAATTAAAATTTAACTTTTATACATCACTAACACAAGCTCTATGGCTACTTGGAATGTTATTTTTGAATTATTATTTTTTTTAAAAAGGGGAGAGAGAGAGAGAGAAATTAAAAATTAATAATAATTTAGCTCATTTGAGAGTATTTTTTATTTTACCTAAAAAAATATTTTTTTTTCTCAATTTACTTTTTGAAAAAATAAATCATGTTAGTAAAATGGTAAATTTCAAAACTATGTTTATTAAAATACATAACTTAAAACTAATTTGACATTTTGCAATAGAATTGAGTGATAAGGGAATAGTATTTTATAATTTCTTGAAAATGTCTAAACAAAAAATGATATGAATGTTTATAAACACAAGAAAAACATAAATTATAATCGCATCGGCCTAAGGATGCCAATTTGGTTTGAACGACTTGTGCTCGGTCTGTAAAAAACCAGAGCTCGCTCGGCTCGGTGGAACCAAGCCAAGGTTCGGGCCAAACCTCATTTTTTGGCGACGGCTCGAACTTAATTCAGCCCGTGTCATAGGCTCGTTGAGTCATAAAAAATGATTTACATAACATATTCAATTTTTCATTTTTGTTGTTAACAACAATATGCAATGTATCAAATCAGTATAATGCTAACTAAAACTAAGAATAGAGAAAACACTGAAAAAATGCACATACTTTGCGGTGCTAAAAATTGAAATAAAATTTAACAGAAACTCTTTATTATGCATTCTCATTCATTTATTGTTGTTTCACCAATCAATTGAAAATTATTTTTAGGCGTGTGTAAAATGATATCCTTACAACATCTACAAAATTGGAATCCTAAATTTTATATTTGCCATCAATTTTAGCACATAATACACGCATAGTTATATCCGACAGCTACAGCTGCTTTGTAGCTATTCAAAAAATTCCAAAATTTCAAGTAAGTATAAATTGCACATAATTTATATTGTTAAAAATTTTTTTTTTTCTGAATTTCATGATTTTAAAAATAAATAATTGAGCCGAAAGTTTGAACCAAGTCATGACTTTTTTGATCGAGATTTGACTCGGCTCGGGCCAAGAAAGCTCTGGCCTTGACCGAGCCTTGAACTCTGACTCACGAGCCGACTCGATTCGATTTGTTTTCATTCAGACATCCGCCATGCCGAACTGGGCCTGAAAATGCCCAAGAGGCCCGGCCCGAGTACAATTCAGCTGATTTATCAGTCACCATCCCCACCTAAAAATCGAAACCGTCCATGAGATCATTACTTGTCGTACTCAATAAGAATATCTCCCCTGCATCAATCCAAACACGCACTTACGTTGTGTGTATTTGACTATTTATGCATAGATATCATTTTGAGGAAAAAAAAAAAATACTAATTATATATACCAGCTGATAAATCAAAATCAATACAGGTTTTTTTGCATTTGTTGGGCTAAAATGGCTTTATCATCTTGTGCTACTGGTTACTCTAATCCTCCTTTCTGTCTACGAAATGGCATGGTTTCTTCAGTCCCAAAGTGTCAGGTGCGGATTAATCATCGAATTGGGTTGTCATTTTTGCCTAAAACGAGTCTCCCGGCCCGAAAGAACCCTTCCAATCTGCGAGTCTTCTGCCTCCGTCATACCTCAGGTAAATGAATTCATCAATTTGTTTAAGCTTTCTTTATGGGTTTTGTTTTTCAATATTGCTGGAAAATTTTATTGGGTTGACCATCAGTTCATGATATGTTTAAGAGTGAAGAAGTGATTTAACTGAATGAGTGATTCTTAAGCTTTTAGACAAAATGATTATTGTGACCTTCGATCAGAAAATGAATGGGGCATCCTAAAAGATAAGATTTAAGTGAATATGAATATGCGTTGTCCATTTCTAACAGCTTGAGGTTAACATGATCTAGTGCTTCAATGATGGTTGAGTGCGGAGGATGTCATGAATCCCATACAAGCTGAGATATAACTGTAAGGTGTTCTTTTCCTTGTAATATTTTAACGCGGTCTAAGTTTATTTGATGATAGATCTAGAAACGGGGAATGAAAATTATTTGCTTGGCTAAAATGTGCACAAATGCAAAAATGGAACATGAACTAGCTATAGATTGATTGATCACCATTAGCTACTTGATTGCCGAATTACCAGCACCTTGAATGGAATTAAGCTACGTTGGCAGTACAGAGTTGGAGGCTTGGAAGTAGAATTCATAAGTAATACCAATTCAAGTTTGATTGGGATAATTTCTGAAGTGATTTTTAATCTGTTTCTGATTCTCGTTTCGGGACTTGCTTTGGAGAATTTCTCTCCACTCTTGAATAAGAAAAATAAGCTAAAAAATAGAGTAGTGTCAATCAGTCCAATCCAACTTTCCAACTACGACCTTAGTTTATTGTGGTCAATTATATCTTTTGTAAATGACTTCTGATCTCCTGCTATGGACCTCAATATCCATTCAATATTTTCGTATAATGCACTGTTTGGTTGCATGCTCGAATTACTTTCAGATTCCAATTCCAATGTCCTTTATTAGACATCTTAAAAATCTGCACGAATATCCTTCCCCAAGACTTCAAATTTCTTGCCAGCTTCTTGCACCCTCCCACGCCCAAACAGAAAAAAGGGTGAAAAAAAAAAAGAATGAAGAAGAAATGAAGTATTAGGCATCTTGTTCAGATACTAAAAAGATGCAAATTTAGGAAGAGTTTTATTAATAAAGGATAAGAGAAAACAGATACTAAAGAAGAATTCCAGTCATGAATTTTAAACTATAAACGCTTTTCCATGCAATAATAGTATCCACTCTAACTTGATTAAGTATAAGATACAACCACTTGATGTAGTGAAAGATGCTCGTGCATTATATGCATGCTCACTATATAATTAAAAAAATAGTTTAATGTTAATTATAGAAAATTGACATTCATAGCAAATAATTTACCAATTTGCTCAAGATTTAAATATCATTTTTAACTTATTGCAAATGTGAAATTCAAATAGATTGATTATGTTTATTTACTCGTCGGATGAGATGGGACGCCAGACGTGGTCTTCCTGGATTCAATGTTCTGCATAATTCTGTAAAGTTTTTGGGTTGGACATCTTTGAGTTGATATTTCAAACAGATAGTTTGATTGTGTATTTAGAAGCAGCCACTGACTCCTTCTAAGAGTATAAAATCCTTGCAGTTAATTGGTAAAAGGAGTTCGCTGCTGAACCTAGGAGAAAATTGAAAATCGAAAATCTTAATCGAAGTTAGTGTGCTTGTCAATTTCATTTTACTAGAAGAAAATTTTAGCCATTGTTTTTGTCTCTGTCCAATCTTTTGCCAGCCATTTTTATCCATGTTTTGGCTGTATTCTACGTCTGGCCCTTTAGAATGGATACATTAATTAACATTCAAAATGATTTAACAAAAATTGATATTTTAGTATTAGATATTGAAGATGGAGCTGAACACAAATGAGTATAAATAACATTTTGGTTCTTCTGAGGAACAGATTTCAATGAAAATCTATGCATAAAACAAACAATTTCATGAGTAGCGAAGGAACTGGACACAAATGAGTGTCCAGGCTGGTTCTTTTTATGCTCCAAAATCTTGTAATTCATAAACTGTGTTGTAAAGTTTCATACTTTCCACCACAAAGGACAAAAATGTAGATTTTATAGATTTTGTGCTTTAGTTATGTAATGGAAGATCGGACCAATTTCATATGGTGCTTTAGTTTTATATCAACGTCTTAGTTACTCTATTCTTGGCTTTTTATATTTCTTGTTGTATGGAAGGCATGTCATTCTCACTTCTTCATCAAATTTATTAAATATTTAGTTCTTTATTCATCATTCATCATTTCTCAGTTCAAGTGTCCTTGTTGAACGTTCAGAGAGACAAATACTTGATCCAAATACTTTCTATTCTGTCCAAGCAGACTTGGTTTTGGGTTCTATAGAAGTTTTGACTTACAGATAAGATATGGTCAGTGAGGCTCAATAAATAGTTTAGACGTAGCTTTTCTTTGAATTGTTGCGTTCTTACTTTCTGCAATTTCATGGTTTTGTGATATCGCGAGCAAATGAGTTTTCAAAAGTTATTTGCTAAGTCTATCATATTGAAGATATATGACTTATGGATCAGGTTGAAAGTTTGCATCAGTTCTTGTAAATTATAGCTTTTAAGAAACCAGTGAATATTTAAGTGCCTCGGTCCTGTGTTTAGTATTTTCTTTGAACTGTTGGAGAATAATTATCTGGGTGCAAAAAGTGACGTGAGTTCTAAATATATTGTTTTCTGAACATGCAGCAGCAGTTGTTACAGGCAAGTCATGGGAGAAACTAGTTTTGAATAGTGATACCCCAGTACTTGTCGAGTTTTATGCCAGTTGGTGTGGCCCCTGCCGGATGGTCCATCGTGTGATTGATGAGATTGCAATGGATTATGCCGGGAGATTAAAATGCTTTGTACTCAATGCAGACAGTGATTTGCAAGTTGCTGAGAATTATGATATTAAGGCTGTGCCAGTGGTCTTGCTGTTTAAAAATGGTGTAAAACTTGAATCCATCATTGGTACCATGCCCAAGGAGTTCTACATTGCTGCCATCGAAAGGGCGTTAGCTTCATAATCGTGTTAAAATATTGAACAGTTGATCAAATTTTTTGACCTGACATTTGATCCTCCAGCTGATGCTCTAACTACTTCTGAAGTTGGAAAAGCTTTCTAGTCCCGGTTTCTTGAATATATGCCAATGTACAGCAATTTAATGTTGAATGTATTTGAAAATGTTGATTGAATTTGGTGTCTGTTTCTGATACTTACAATGTGTAAAGGAACTACTTTTGCCAAGTTGGTCCCTTTACCCTCGTCTTCTATTCCCAATTTTCCATGCTCTACAATATCTGAATGGGATGAATTTGGTGTTAAAGGATTAGTAACCAAATGAATTGGGTTGAAAAAGCAATCTTGGTTGCTCCATGTCTTATTGTCTTCAATTACTCAGTAGGTAAAATACACTTAGGGGCACCCAATTTTCACTGAAATTGCATCACCCAACTTTGATTTGCTCGTATATTTAACTATTCCATTTTCTATAAATTACGTTAATTGGACTAACGACAAAGGATAGAATGATAGATGTTTAAGTAAATTAAAATTGAGAACTTGATTGTATGAAATTAAATATTGATAAAACTCATTTGTAGTTTTGTTTTGTTAACATCTCACAATCAAATAATGTATATAAAATTATAAAAAAAAATAAAAAAATGTCATTGCCAATTGAATAATGTTACTTGTACATAATGAGTTATATAATAGTTTATATACGGAAATGTATCAAAAAGAGAGTGGAGAACTTTTTTTATTTTATTATTTGGTTAAAGAAATTTTAGTCCAATCATATCTCACTATATATATATAAGTCATTATGTACATGTCACACAGTCGTTGCCAATTAGTCTCTTACTTGTAAAGGTAACATGTTTAGTAGGAATTATAATTTTAACAAAAATTTAAGATAAAATCAACAATTAATTTTAATCATACATTTAACTCACAACTTTTTAGTTACGTCTTTTATCAATTTTTGTTAAAATCGTGGAGTGTATAAATCTATGGGAAACCCTTCTTGCACAGACCCCTGTGCACAGGGGTCTGTGCAGAATCAAGTATCCACTATTGTATACGAGAATTAACATTAGATTCAGTTCAGCAGTATAAATAACAGGACTTGTAATCATATAAACTTCACCGTCATCAACATTAGAAGTAGAAGACAATACATTTACCTCATCGCTCTCTTTAACCTTTCACTTACCATTTTCCTTATACCAGTCTTTTATAAAATGCCATGTGTTCCCAAGGCCATAGTATTTTCTAACCTTTCGTTCTAGACTTTGATCTAGACCTACCCTTTCCCTTCTTAGACTTTGATCTAGACCTACGCTTTCCCTTCTTATTCTCTTCGACTCGTCACTACTTTGGTATCCATCATGACTATTTTGCGTAAACTAAGTTCTACTCTGCATCATATGAATCTCATACTTTCTTATTATGTTATTCAGCTTTAATTTTCATCTCCTTACTTTTAAGTGAGTCAATGACAATTTCAGGTATCAAAGCGTCCCTACCATAATTAATTGCATTTTTAACTTCCTTATACGTGTCAGACATAGTTACGCAAAAATATAGCTTTGTAGGTTTCAGACACAGTCTTCTCACAGTTAACAATATCTTGAACTAGTTTGTTAATTTAAAGCTAGAAAAAAAAGTTCAAATAAGTAAAGCTTGTTAGGGGTATATTTGAGAAAATACAAGTTTTCCAATTGTTTTCAAAGTTTTTTGATGGTTTTCAGTTTACCCACATTTCTCAAAACAGTATCAGACAAGTGTAAAATGATTAAAGTATAAGTAAGCACATCGGCTTCTTCTTTTGAAAAATCAATAGGAATATTGCCTTCAATGGCTTTTGAAATTTTTTTTTTAATCAAAATACCCTTTATTTTTTTTTGCCTGTTTGAAAAATCACATTTTTCGTTAAAAATCTCCAAATCAAAGTTGTGAGTTGTGATTTTTACGAATCAATTAAAAATGTACAAAATCATAGTCAAACCACACAAAGTAATCATATGGTCACAGACAATATACTCTGTTCTAAATTCCCAGGATTTCGTAAGACTTGCGATTCTAGATCAAAGGAATGATCGAACGGGTAAGGTCTAGATATTCTAACGGAATTAATGACGTAATGGAATTGATGATGCAACAAAATAGATATGTCCAATCAAAAGAGATTTTACGACAATTATAGCACAAAGAACAATAAGTTAATTTATTCAAAATAAGTACTCAATCGTAATAATTAAAAGTAAGTAATCCTAATTTATAGCACAAGCAATAGTTATCCCACACCGTAATCCCAATCCTATTGTCACCCCTACACGGTGACGTGCTAATGTCAAAATTTAACGGGAAAGCCAATTTACAAAACAGATATATATGAGTCCATAAATTATGAAAGATTCGAATTTGCTGCTTTAGGGCCACCACTATTCACCCTAAAAATTCATCAAATATATCAATGCAATTGGCCATGAAAATCATCCAAGTTTTTCTGCGTAACCTGCTGCACTCAGATATCGGCTCAGAATTTTTGGCAGGTCAACGCTTTGGCCGGAATCAAGAGATATAGGTTCGGCCCTTTGAAAAACTTCGTAAATCAAACGCATTTTTGTCGAATTTCTGGCCGAAGAGCAACCACCTTGCTCTGATACCAGATGTAGAGTGTAAAAACCAAGATCACCAAGGTTTTATCGGGCTCAGTTTACTAAGCAATTGACGCCACCAAGAACAACCACAAAAACTCCCAAATGTTTCTTCCACTTACGGTTGCTATGAATTACCCACCAAAGAGACCACAAAGGAAACCAATATCACACAAGAATCACACCACAAATGCAGTAGGGATGGGCAAACTGAGAGTGGATAGAAGAGTGAAGAAGAGGCAACCGTAAGTTCTCACACCACGAAAGCGAAGGAGAAACCGTCCGTTTAACCAAGTAAAATGGGTGTATAAGGTAAGTTAACTTAAGGTAAAATAGTGGCCCAAACGGCCGAACACAAGAATAATGGGCTACTAAAATGGGTAGCATCATTTAGTCGTCCATGTAAGTGGGACGAGTCATAAGCAATACTAATAAATTAGGTTGCTTCAAATGGTCCACACAAATTAGGCTGGGCTCGTTCCATTGGGGAGCGAATTTGAAAATAGCCATCCGAAGAACACAAAGTTGATTCTTTATACTTTCTGTTGTGTATTGTCATACTTAGCCAACCTACCTGGGCCAATGGCCCACTCAGGCCGAACCATGTGGCATTCCAGTCGAGGCGGTATATATTGCCGAGGTGGGCTATGGCCGAAGCCTTTCAATCCGAGGCATGCCCTTTCACCGAGGCCTGTAATCATAACCGAGGTCCACATGCTGAGGCCTATGGGCCGCCATGATGCGGAAGCTGGTTGAAGTTAGCTGAAACCCTCAAGTGGAAGTATTGTATAAAATGGCCGAAGCCCCGAAGCTGATGCAGGAGCCTCTGAACCACATGGGAGCGTCCTCCATATTCACTTCTTCCAAGAGATCGTCTACACAAAGATTTTATTCGAATGATTGATGGAACGTTTGTCATAAGCATAAATGTCAAGTCTTGTCACTAGTATGGAGGCTCTGCACAAATAATAAATGCGCAGCAAGCTAACAAGTCAAGCCCCCTGCCTAGGATAAGATGTTTGAATCAAAGAGATGAGGCCACGTGTCACCTCATCCAAGGGCTCCCATTTCACATGTATCACTATAAATACTTCACTTGTGTAACATTAAAGGACTAATGCAATAATCAATACAAAGAACTACACTTTACTCAACTCTCTCTCTCTCATTTACTTGTAATACACAAATCGAGTTTATACACATTTACATATACATTTACGAACACCGGTTGGTAATTATTGTACAATCGGATCACGAACAACCCGTCGGATTCCGAACGTCACCATCCCGCGTCGTTGGTCTACTCCCACGCCCTTTGAACCGCTCGTTGTAGACCGTCCACGTGTCATAGTGTGTTGAACATTCGCCCACATGTGTGCGGGTGAGACCGACATCTGTTGACAACACTTTTTAGGTCAACACTTTCTATTCAATGAACTAGTCTCATTGATTATTTTATGGGGTGTAGACCTCTTGACAGGTGGAGTGCAAAAGTTTCGTCAAGTTGGACAAAGATTAGCTTTCACGTGTAAGGTAGAAGAGAGTTTGATAGCAAGATTATTTTTTGGGTTAGGATTCACCGAACTTTGTTTTGTTTTTGATTAGTTGGTAAACTTTAAAAATTGTTTCCTCGACCATTCTTTTGGTCTATATCTATAAAAATTAAGCTTTTATTTGATTTTGATTATTTGAGAATCCAATCATACTATTTCTGCAATTTGATTGACAATCTGTGAGTTGCCAAATGTCATATTCATTCATTTGAAAAACATTTTTTGAAATGAATGACAATAACCTTTCCTACAATAGCATAATTCTTGAGAAACACTTCTAAATCACACTCTTTTTTTTTTTTTTTTTTAAAATCATACATTCACCCAAAATATATAAATATATATTTAAAGAATTACTTGTCAAAAAATCTTTACCAAACAAGCGCTAAGAAGGAGAGTGGTTTCACCTTCGGTTCTTGTCTTCACGAGTAAAAATTCAATTAGTTCATTGAAATTCAATTTATTTCTAATATTGTTTCCAACTAATCAATGAATTAGTTGATGTTTGTAATATTAACGCAGAGATAGTACGTGGCAAATTTCATGGCTTATGTGGATCATCTTTAGCCGTCGTCTCCATTAGTAAAAAATCCATATGTACCGATGAAGTTTTTGTAGACGATGTTTGGATCTTTTGACCAATTTAACGATTAAACAGATGTACCTATTTCAAGGTTTTTTGACATTCAATTTATAAATTCTCTTGCCATGTGACTCTCTTTGCATTAATTTTGTTAACGTCAACGAAAAAAGGATTGGTCGGAAATAGATGTTAAAGTTTAGTGATCAATTTGCAATGCTTGTATACTTTTACAGATCGAAAAAGGGGTTGATGAGGCTGTATAAGACATGACATTTGCCAACTCTTTTTACATAAATTTTAACCAATGTGCGCTACCAAAATGAAACGCGCCTCCGTACATGTTTAGACATATAATTAAGTTTTGTCAAATGTTAATTTTAATCACACTGTTAATAGGATACACAGATATTATACACTAATTTCTATTAATTTATAATTAAGTTTATTCGGTTTCATTAAGTTGCACGAGTGCATGACAGTACTAGCTTGGCGCCCGTGGCCTAATGGATAAGGCGTCTGACTTCTAATCAGGCGATTGTGGGTTCGAGTCCCACC